GGGCATAATATGATCGATGAGTTCGGTAAAAGCAGCTCGAAATATCATTGGTCTTCCATCACGAACAAAATCGGAATCCCGACGAAAAATGTTACCGAACTCCTAAATTCGTTTTCATTTAGGTTGAAAACGCGAGAGTTATAACGAACTAGAAATTATTTTTGGGTGTCCTCTGCTTTTTCTGTTCCACCCATTCGCTGACAGTTGCAGAAAAATTATTGGAATGCTAATTCCAGAATAAAATGGAAATACATTTATGTTTACAACAATAATTCGTTAATAAAATTAACTTCATTTACAGAGGAATTAGCTGAATTTAATATCTAAACCAGCAGCATTGCGTATCATGAATACAAGTAGAGATTCCGCCTCTCATACTATAATTCACCTCGTGGTATCATGTTCCCAGATGCATTCAACCGAAAATTACTCAACCCCGCAGTGCAGCGACATCATCCTCACTTCCTGTTCCATATTTCAGAATAACCCCTGTCGAAATTTTAAAGACTTTCCTCCGCGACTATCGAACAAATTTAAGCCCCACGAGCGTCGACATTTTTTCATTAATTAAACTCCGTACGCCGTGCAAATCATTTAAGGTTACGCCAATGTCTTCTAACGCGAGACCTACATATATCAACTTACAGTTCCTGCGATCCAATTACACGAGTCATTATTTCCGCGAAGTTCAACGATAATTTCGTAGACGTATACTCTGGATCATTAATATCGTTCATATCTAACAAAGGAATATCACGAACTGTCAGATTTTGCTATATATCATTGCAGCTATTTTCAAACTTTCATGAAGAAACCATCCCTTATGTCGAAGCTACTAATTGTCTTTATGCCTATACGATTGTTACATCATGGAAGATATTATTCCATTCCTTTTACTTGCTAAACATGAAACAATGAAATTCTGTCTACCTGTCTTTCAAGTTGCAATAGTACAGGTCCAGTGACATCTTAAAAGCAAGCTGTAGGATTCGTTTGTTCCTTATTATCTTGGAGACCCTGTCTTACAAAGCTATTAATCTGTTGAAAAATCTGCTAAATCAAATTATCCACTAATAAAGCACCAATTAATCTGAGACTGTTCAAATGATTAATAGTTCCTGATAAGTGGCCCGGGCTACTTTCGATCCTTCAAAGAATACCGAATTGAAATTATTGTACCATGACAGCCTCGGATTTTTCGAAGAAATTTTTTCAAAGTTGCAACTAATTGAAGGTAAATCAGCGAAAACGCGGAAGATGGAAGCCGTGCTCGTAAAATTTCAGGGAAAATGGACGGTTTGCGTGTGTATAATATAAACCTAGGTTGGATTATGGCCGAACCTCTGGAAACATGGAAAACGGGAGGGCCAAAGATAATAGGAATTAGCCAACTTTAGCGTGCATTCGGCGCAGCTGCCGCGAGAGGCTGTAAAACGTTGTTTCTTCCGCGGCGCAAATCGGCCAGCGACATAAATTTCCTTCCTGCTTTCAAGACAACCTCCTCTAGTTATGCAATACGGAATTTAATTCGCGCATCGGTGACGTTGCCAGCAAAAACGACGACCATAATTCAACCCATTCGGTTGCTTCGTTCATCAAGATGATACACGACCTGGAGATGTTCAAATTTATGGTCTATTGTAGCGATAAGACCATATTAGAGATTTAAAAAAAGATTGACTAGTTTCCTAAATAAAAATTCTCAAAAATACTATTTTTCTTGATCCGTTATATTGGAATCCCTCAACTACAGCCAAAATATACTCTTCACTAAAGAAACATAAACCTCAAAGAGGTGGATAAGACACTTTTGCTTTTCTCCGGGGTGAAATTTGCTCATATAACGAGACACTACTGTAGCACCAACGTTGGATACTCTACTCTGATTGGTATTTTTATAGCAACTCACCTCCTTGCGGCCATAGCAAACGTGTCGACTGATGACTGTGCCTCAACAAGAGTCACAGCCCAGGGCTGTTGTTTTTTTCTTATAAAAAGAAAAAAACAACAACAGGGCACTATATGCAGGCAAATAATCGAGGTATCGTCTGATTCGCGATACGTTTCGCATTAAAAATTCAAAGCATGGAAATAACGCTATAGTATCGTGAATAACGTATAGATTATGTGCTTGCGATGATTTATCGTTCGGTGCTCGAGCCTTTTATAGGTCTTCCGCAAAAAAATAATATATTACCGTTGAAAAAAGAAAGATTTCAGTCAACCTGACCGGCAGAATCGATAAACGATTACGGTGTCTTGTGAAAGGCGGACGCGACGTTTCTCAGCCTAATTCATTTTTCACCGAATCGATAAGGAATGCACGAATCGAAGCTTCGATAAGTCATAATGCGACGTGTGTGTACACGCGCGCACGGCGGTCTGTTTAAATATTTTCAGCACGCATTGTTGCCATAAATTGTCCCTGGTATGCCATGGCCCCGCCTTGAAAAACCAGGCTGCTGCTAATGGCAGCTGAAAAATCAATTTGCAGCGATACTACGTGCACACGTTTTCAACTTAAAATGGAACAGGTACGTCCTCTTGACTCGTCGGGACTTTTAATATATTTTCTGGGGTTTTCAGCAACGTCCCTCCGAATAATACGATACAGGCCATAGTACAATGTCAATAAATAAAAGAGTGTTTGACGTGAATAAATAATAGGCTGATACTAACGTCAGGAATATTGAAGGGAAAAGATTTTTTCCCCTGTTTTCAAAGTAAATACGTGGCTGCATATAACCCGGTGGATATTGAAAACTGAAGGAAATTTTATAAAAAAATTTCTACTATCGTAATTGATCCTTTACAAAACTCTTGACACATATTAGCAAGGTTATTACCTAGAGTAGCAAAAACATAAGTCGTTAAAAGGGAAGTGCCCTCCCCTCGAATAAACAGGTATGAACCTAACCTCATTTACCGTACTCAATGTCACAGAAATCGTATGTGCGATCAATCTAGGGGATGAAAAAGAATATTTCGATTTTTAGAGTCCGATACTTCCTCCACAGGACACAAGGACGAGGTCCCGACGGGCTAATGGAACCGATCCTCCGTGACGTCGGGTCGATAATTTCTGAAATTAAATTAGGAAACCAGATTAACGGTGAATCTATTCCCGAGGGACGCGCGTGCTGCTTCGAAGTGCAAATAATCCGCGAGATCTGTCCTCGTTCAGAAGAATTCACGTCTGCATGTTTTTCTGCATGCGTGGAGAATAATGAGCAACGACAATAATCTTTGTTGCCGAGTACCCGGCTATCCAGGCTGACGGGTCGATCGATCCGGCTAATGGATGATCGCTTTTCAGGTCGTCAGTCAGCACTGCACCTGCCTAGCTCGATCCGACCGTTTACTTAACTGGCGCGCACGCTTTTCAACGGAACGCTTCGATAACGTTTTAATTGCACCCGTAAAGATAATCGTTCTCGTGCGGCGGGTACTCGTAAATCGCGCCGATAGAGATCGATGGACTTACTACTGCAAGGATAAGTCGGAGAAAATGGTTCTTTAAATCGCTGGAAAGAGACTAAACCTGCCCGCGGGGAATATGGATCGTGCAATGCTAGTAAGAGAGTACTGCCTCGCTTGTTGCATCGATCTGCGTTACGGATTCTTGCAAAGAAATCGCCCCTTTCTATTTTCTTGGTGTTCAGTCTATGGGATCTTTAATCCGAGATTGGGGATCCCCCATATTTTAACGGTTAAAACTGGATATTTGCGGAACTAGTTCCTTGCAGCTCACCTAGGCGCGCCACAGCCATCGACAAAAGTAGAAAATCGGCTTTCGCGTCGGTTATAAGCAAATGGCTCGATACATAGCTCCGATCAAGCTCGGGGTACCAGACTTTCGTGCCGTTTGGGCGGAACTAGGTCGGCATTGGATGACTGCGCGGAAAGTTTCGAGGATCCTTAGGCTTTACGCCGCCTATTTCGGGTCGAAACACGTGTGCCAGCCAGTAACACTTTATCTAGCAATAGCTTGCAACGTAACGAATTAATACCCGCGAGAATTATTAAATTCCACGTTTCAGCCTCGCCTCGCGTGTCGTGAGTAATACGACCCGCAGGGATCCGAACGTACACCTGCAATCCTTGGCAACGACTCGTGCCAATTTCGTTGTCCTTTAGCTACTCTTTTCTATGACGAGCTTCTGCGATAACTCCGAATTCTGAATCGATTTTTTTACGCTTACCTATCCCGTAGTATTAGCTTGCATGGGGAAACATTAAATATGAATAGACACCAGCGGCGTAGCGAGCAATATCATATAATATATTTCACTCCCTCGAACTGAAATATTTACTTTCGTAATTGCTCTTTAGCGATTCTGTATGATTTTGAAATATACGGTATCATACCCCCTACCAGAAATAAAATGAAAAAATATACTACATCATTTGTAAAAAATCAATGAACCTCGAATATCTGTGTATAACCTACTATAAATTCCAGCATGTGAATTCTAGATTAAAGCTGGCTACGCCACTGGTACCCGTTCATATTTAATATCTCCTCGTGCAAGGATATACTACCAGGACAGGTAAGCCTCTTCCATACAATTTTTCCCCCATTTTTTTCGTAGATTATCTTTGATATTATTCAAAGAAGTATTATGTTCCGTCGTAATTACTTTTTGCTGTGCTTTTGTTTTTATTTACGGGGTGTTTAATTACAGATCGGCATCCCTTTAGAGGCTAATTCCACGGGCTAAAGCAAGGCGAAAATAAAGAGTGAGTAAATTACGGCAGAGGCTGCGTTTTAAAGTTATAAATATTTATAAATCAGGGTAAATACGCCTCGCACGCACCGATGGTGTAGCGGTTACCATACGTGAGGCGACTTGTCGGAATCTTTAACCGCTTAAAACGTGTTATATTTCTACTTTGTTTTCACGAGTGCGCAAATACCGAAACATAATGAAATTCTCCGCTCGTTTATCGTTAACGGGGATGATAATGTCATTAACATTCCTCGAAATTGGATACGATACCTGAACGCGGCCCATCGGTGGCGACACCACCAGGAAGATTCTCATGGTGGCCTTGAGAAAGTCATCTTGATTGCGGTTGGTCTCTTGGAGACCGGCCTCGGAGATGCTGGCGCTGCTGTGGGTAGTTTTTCGGCGCACCTTGCGCCTGATGCTGCCTACTAGCCTTCGCCAATCCTGTCCGGAACCGGTTGCGCCAGTACCGGATACGGTACCGACACCGCCACCACCCCCGCCCCCGTGGGTGGGCGCATCCTGGCCCTCCGACGACTTCGAGGGGCTTAAGTCGCGACTGTGTCGCCGACTTAGGACACCGCGGCTAGCCCCCACCACCGGCTGCTGCCCACCTAGGCAACCGTTGACGGGGTCCGTGCCCTCAGCGCCGGTGAACCCCTCCGCAGGCCCGCCACCGCTGGGCCCGGTTGCCCCACCGTGACCGAACGAACCAATCGCGTAGCGTCCGATTCCGCTTTCGATGCTCAAGCTGCGCGCCAACCCTTCCGGACTGTCCCTCCGTTTACTGGACCCTTCCGTCTCCTCGTCTATCGAGGCTCTTGCGTGCTGGTTTCTCTGGCGCGGTTCCTCGATCCTTCGACGGATGTTAACGACCGACGGGCGAGATTCACGAGCCGGACGATCGATAACGCAACAGAGTCCAAGCGTGACGGGGCTACGCTGACCAATCTGAAGGATCAGGGAGTCCAGCTGTACCGGGCAAACACAATTGTTTGCAGTTGCCGTAGCGCCCGATTCCTCCCTTGGAGGAAAGAATGAACCAGGGATGAACGTTGTTTACCCTTAGGTACCTCGTTACCCTTGGTAGGCTACTTTACGTCGGTCCGTTTCAACGATCAGCCTGGAAACTTTCAACCGTCCGAGAGTATTCTAGAGAATGGCTCTTTCGGAATCGCCGGTTCCTTGCGCCTCTATGGTGCCCGGGGAATGATCGATGTATCCGGCCGCGTAACCAGCGGCGCAGCTGTCGGAACCTATCGGACTCCTTGACCTACGACATTCGATGCCTTTCTAGGTTACGACTCTCGCTCTGGAAATCCGATCTCTTATTGTCTTTTGGGAACTTTGAATCGTCGCGTACCGACGCGGGGGATGCCTGCGACCCTCGTAAACTCTTCCCCGCGTCCACTAATGAACCTCCGTAAATTCTCCGCGCCGGATCCGGACTTTTATTGCCGCCTGCCAGGGTTCTCCCTCAGACTTATCCGTCTCGCGACAGTTACGAGACGTCTCCGTTGATACTCCGACTACGTAGCTTTGCTCGCAAGTTGATTTCGTGAGGCGGTTCGATACCAGCAGAACACGTTGCGTTAAGTGTTTGCGGCAGACTGGAATCGACGATGTCCACCATTTGCCTAACGGCGGTCGCGAAATTTCTCCTGACGATTTCGAAGAGCCAAAGTCGTCGAAACGCGGCTCCAGGTGGACGAAAGTATGGAAACGTGATTTCAGAACCTGGAACCCATCGGAACGCGAGATTAAGGCTTCTATCGAACTTCTTGAGGGTTTCGTTCCCGTCCGTGATGTCCCGTTGACACCGCCTGGTACGATCGATGCCGCGGAAACCCGACGAACGCTTGGTAAGTTTCTCGGCCAAGAACGACCGAAAGTTTGGACAGCCTCGATGACGGGTCTTCTGGAAGGCTGCAGCCAAATGACTGGAGAACGAGCGAGAGCCTCTCCCGTGAATGGATTCGAAACGACTTGAAAACTTCGCGATCCTTCGTACGCCCTTAAGCTGCGGCAAATCGAAGGTCGATTGTTTCCACGAAGCCGTTCAACTCGGATAAAACGTCGTTAATTAAGTTCACAATCGAGCATCGGTGGTCGTCCTTGCGGGTAGCTATTAGCGACGAGTTTCTGCTTTCCCTTCGAACGCCACAGAGGAAATATCTAATTAGCTTCTGCGAACGGTCCGAGAGTCCTGTGGTTTTATACAATATTGCTCGTTTACAGTGATCCCTGATTTTCTTTGTGCTCAAAGCGTTTGGTTGCTCTGAAGCGAGTCGATGTTACGGCCGCGCCTCTAATCCGTCGAGGACGCGTCGCCTTTTAGTTTCCACGGTCGACGGGCGGCAGTTTGCGTTGTCTGGCATCTGCGTGATCAACGAATTGAATGAGTGAAACCTGTGCGTGGGTACTCTGATCGACGAGGCTCGATCTACGAGCCCGCGCCGGGAAAATCGAGTCTCAGATGATCGACGAGCCGTACGCGGCGCGGGGTTAGACGCGTATCGCGAATAGAACTTGTTCACCTGAAAATAAAATTCCTCTCGGGGTAACCTTCCCGGGCCCTTTTAATTATTTCGATGCTTTTAATTTTTCCGGGGCTTCTTGGGCTTCTCTTCGGGAAAGAGCAAACAACTATTTATACAAGGTATTTACCTACTGGTGCTGGTAAATATTTTAGGGGGTGAGTTCTTTCGCAGTATGAGATGCTTCATAATGAATAAATAAGAGTTGCTCGATCGAATTAAACGTCACGAACCAAGTGCTGTACGTTTTATTGGTTATCTATTTACTCGAAGAAAATTTGTCCCATTTCTAGTCGGAACTGGACCGAACCTTTTAAAGGATTCGGCTCGCCGGTACAAATTCAAACAAAATATTCTTGAACTTCGGGCTTTGAATTAAAATTCAAGCACCCTCCGCAAGTACTCCTTGCGTTATTGAGTACTCTGTATGCAGTTGGTTTCCCGGACTCGAGGAACGAGTGATTTTTTAACCGTAACCGCTGAGAATAAATTTCATCGGATGAGAACTTCGGTTCTTACCGGTATTGGTTAAAAAGAGTTCGATTCAGCAATTTCTGTGGCTCGTGGGACCGATTGAAGCGAATCCGCGCGGAAGAACGAATGGAGCAAACAATTTTACCCAACATTTCCAGCTACGTACGCGAGCTTATAAAATACATACTTCGACGCTAAATGTACGAGTTTATGTGACCGTGGTACTGAAAAGGCGCCAAGAATCTACTTCGCCAAGGTATTCGATTTGAAAATTAAATGAAACGTACAACGAAAATGCCTCGAAGATTATATTATAAATAAATTGTGTCAGTAAATAAACATTTATGAAATGAATCTACATATGAAAAGGTTTCCCAATCCACAACCAAGGAGAATGAATTATTTATATGTAGAAAAGCAGCATCTTATGAAGGGGATCGACGCAACCACTACGTTAGAAGACAAAATACAATTTTTGTGTATAACGGTGATTCTATATGCAAAAATAAATCGAAAGTGTAGAATGAAATTTCTTCGGGTAACGCTTCGTTCCCGAGGGAATCGATTTTAAAAATTCATGGGACACGCGTGCCATAGAGCACAAGTAGAAACAGTGACTAATGGTCAGACGCGCCAGCCAAATCATATTCGATGCTCCAGAAATTTTTAAATTCAAATATCTCGAAAACGAAGCATTCTATGGAAATATTCATACTGAATTTTCGATTCATTTTTACACGTAAAATAAATTATTCCATATATTATTATTTAAACTCCGCCGTAGGGCACCCTCTATACCATCGATCAATCATAGGCACTGCTCGAACTACGTCGCTTTAAAAGTGCAGATAATGTTGGCGTTCGAGATAACTTTAAGCGAAAAGAAACAGCGCGAAATTTTCGTCAATTTCTCCGAGCTCATCGTTCCCTTGTTTAACGTTAAACGAACGCTGCCCCTTTTCCTGCAATCGACGCGTACCGTTTGCTTTACGAGTCTATTTTTTTTTCCATTTCCGTTTGCCTTCCAAATTCCCTCTTTCTCTCGTAATCTGCTTTTCCTCGTTGAAATTTTCCGGACTTACCCGGCTATTCGCGGGGAGTCATTCATCAACGTTCCATTATCCGATGCTCTGTGCTCTACGTAGCCAGAATTCCTGCAGTCTATACGGGATCCTCAAGAACCACTTCGATACTACGCCTAGCATTCTCCTTCCCGGAAAATTGTATTTAACTTTCCTCCGAATTTACCGTCGAAATTCTTTGCGAGACAAGAAACATTCCTCGATTAAAAATACTCCAAGAATCTCCGACTCGGAATATTCACCACTTTGGAATTGGAAACAAATATGGTCAAAAAATAGTTTCGTGGCTTCGAAGAAGATACAATATGGCGTGAACAGTGTTCCTGCGGTTGTACAGAGGATGTTTCTAGATCGGAAGCGGACGCGTAAACTGGAATCGCGTACCCCGAGTGATCCCTGTGTAACGATCGTTGTAACTTGTTGATCGTGCAGGCTTAATGCGAGAACGGGCTGAGTGTGAGCCTCGTTGTGTACGCTAGGAGCAATATCAGAGAAATTTCAATATTTGGAAAAGTCGACCAGAGAACTGGTCGGACGCGTACCGTCCGTGAACACACAGCTCGGCCGCGGATCCACGAAAACCACGAATTCCGAATTCGATGCAGCCGTTACGGCTCGTTTATCAATTTCACGGGGAATTCCCGATACGTACGATCCCGTCGGTGGAAATGGGCTTCTCTTCAAAAAGAATTTCCATTCCTGCCGCCCCGGTATTTTTACTTATTTTGGGCTCGTGGTCGCTTGGGAAGACCAGGCTAACGAATTCGAGAATGGGCAAAGACCGGTTCCATACTGAAAAATGTTGGAAAATCGATCGCTTTTCCATCCCGATATTAGGGAGTTTATGTAAAAATAGGGGGAGTTTAAGTCATTATTTTGCCGATATCGAATGTGAAACAGGACGTCGGTGTCACTTTTCACTTTACTTCGCGTAGTTTCTTGATAAACTAAAATTTCTTTGTAAAAAAATAATATATGCTATCTTGAAATATGTATAAATAAATGTGTTAACCCTGTTAACAGGGTTTGAGAAAACAATTCATGAAGAAGGGCCACTTTTCAGAGTTCTAAATCAGAATCCCATAAATTTTTAATACAGGAGAATTTCTTTGGAACCTAGGAGCTTATTATTAAAGCAAACGAACATTGGGTTGTTGAGCTTTTAAATAATGCACGTCGCGGAGGAAATAAAATTGTTTCTTTCTGTTGACTCTGGCAGCCACCAGTGTCGCATTTATCGTCGACCCGTTCCACATCGCAATGGACTTCTGCGTTGCCTATAAAGTCTGGAAAATCTCGGAATATTGTAACTCGCATGGCCCTAACACCGCCATAAACTGCATCACGGAGATATAAAAACTGTTTTACTGTTAATTCTAGAAAAGCATTCGAAGATGTACTTCGGTCGTGTCGTTCATATTTCATCTTATTCTACCTCGCGATTGGTCAATTCTTCGTTTCCTACAAGTGGCACTAAACTTCGGGGTGCAATGGCTCGTGTAACTGCCAGGAATTGTCTATAAATTGCGAAAAATTTCCAGCAGTACACGAGCTATTCCCAATAAAACTATTTTGTCGCGTCTGGCTTGTTGCGTTCTATTCTACTTGGCAGTGGCTGATATTCATATCTTTTTATTTTGAAGAACAATTGTAACTATTGTTTTAATCGAAGGAACGTCCCCGAGCGAAAGTCTGGTAATTTAAAAAGAATAGAAATTTGTTGAACATTTGTAAAGGGAAACGGTTACGAATGTCGGACATATTTTGTCTTGTTCCACTGGAAAGTTAGAGGCTCCGTGAGCGGCCTGAAAACTACCGAGTTACAACTGCAAGTGACGTATGTACCCAAGAAGTACGCGAACTTTCAAGAAAGAATGGTTTTATTAGCAGTCGCGGAACAGAATTTTAATGAAGTTTTAATGGACTTCGTCGGAAAATACGGCCAGGAAGTGACGCGTTCGCCTTGTGCGTGACAGCCCTGGTGCAAAATGTGTCAGAATTTCTTTGGCAATTTATCTGCCAAAAAGCACTTCCCTATTTGTGTTTTATTATCACAAAATCAAACCAACACCTGATGTACATTAATCATCGCCACCGAAACAATCGCAATTAATTTATTTGTTTGGACAGGAAGGGTACCGTTTATTTTCAGTTAATATAGTAACAAAGCGACGCGAATCAATGTCAATTTCCTTTTTGAATTAATTCCGCCCCGACCAGCAGCGATTTTCATTTCTGCGTTTGTTAAAACTGTCCGTTATATTTTTTCTCTTCGTCGACACAATTAGGGAAACACCGATGCCCGCGAGGGATTAAAAATGAACGAGGTATTCAAATTGCTAATCGCTGGGATAATCAAGGGACGATTCTTCGAGCAGTTTTCGCCGAGTCGTTGAATCCAAGCTCATCCTTCGACGATTCCTCGTCTAAAAAAAATCCTGAAGGATTCCAGGATCCCGATCGTCGCTTCATCCACGGCTTTTGTCTACTAATGAAATCCTAATTGGGGGGACTGTCGACCGAAGACAGATTATAATGGCGCGCAGCGTCCGAATCCTGACCCGAATTGAATCATTTGCTCGATTAATTAGACTCCCCGAGCGCCTTCCAGCGTGTCGTCTTCGGAAAGAGATCGAGCGATGCTCTATCTCAGAGTGAATGTAACTTCAAGGGTCTCGGAGACGTTATCGTTATCGCGCCGGTGTCATCTCCAAACGCAGACGCAGAATTAATTACCAAGAACGAGAAGGGGGGAGGGGGGGAAAGAAATTAATTTCCCGCGGTGATAATTACTACGAGCCCGAGAAGGAGCCTAGCGACCGTGAAAATGTCCTTGCCGCGTTCAAATATGGAAGAACGGCGAGTAAGAATGAAATTACTAGGGCAAATCTGATAGCAATTCGATCAGATGTATAGGTAGAATCACGAAAGATGGGCCCTGGATGGAATCTAAGAAGAATTCGGGGCAGTTTATAACGAATGCAGAGGACGAAGAATATTTCTCGAGCCCGTAACACTTCCAATTTACGTCCAGAATGATCCGCTCGCGAACAGCCACAGCTTTAAACCGATTCCTCTTGATCTCTCGAAGCATCCCTCGAAACGAGACCGTAATCCGCTTATGGGTGTATCTAGCCAGAGTTAATAAGCGACCGAGGGAGAAATTTTAAAGTCAATTTTGTCCGAGTCGGGACACTACCGCCCAGAATCGTTTTATCGCGAGGAGGGAAAAGAGGGGGGGGGGCGTAGGATCCCCGTTAAACGAAAATGTGATCGGCCGCCATG